CACTGCACACAAAAGACCAGCTAATGACACCCATCAATCACAGTGACAGATCATCTCTCCTCCTTATCACAACAAGACACCACAACAACCCCCCCCCCCGGATCACCACAATCACCCAATCTCCTGAAAAGGACAAAAGTAGATCCCGCAGCTCTAAATACTCAGCTATCCAAACAAACTGCACCAGAGCACAGACAGAGTTCTGACTCCCATCCTCTGCAGACGCTGGCTACAGAGATTGGCGAAACTTTCTGAACATGGCCAAATGGCCCAAAAAACCCACAACCATCGTCATGAACAGACTGCATTGGACTGAAACACTTGGAAATATAGGTTTAACCCTCCGGCCACCTCCAGCTACCAATGTAGGTCACTGGGGTGGCCATGGGCCAGGCGGATTCCCATAGATGATGGACCTTTCAGGGGGAAGAGCTGTGGGGATGAGGTGACTCCCTCCCCGAAAATCGGGGGGGGGCTGCCAAGGGGCCCTTGGGCAGTGTTTTTGGCTGCAGGAAAAGGCTGATCGGGAGGTCTCCTCAAGAGGAAGGCTCTCCCTCCCTGTGGAAGCTACAGGGCCCAATCCTGCAGCTGGCATGCCTTAAACTGGCTAAAAAGCCTCCAGCTGACCTCTAGATGGGGGTTCCAGAGGCTCAGTTTGCAGAGACCGGCGTCTGGGATTGGGGCCTCCCTCGAGAGAAGTCCTTTGCTCCCTTCCAGACTTCCATTCTTTACTCTCCTTTCTAGGCCTCTCCCAGTTTTGATCCCTGCTCTCTACGGACTGACCAGCTGGACACAGGACGGCCCGCGCCTGCCTCCGATTTCCCAGAAGACTTCATTTTGCCTCTCGACCTGGATTCTGGACTCCCCTGCCTGACCAGTGCCTCAGCCAACCGAGATCAGCCCCTCTCCCCTCCCCCCCAGGAACAGGAGACGGGGACCCCTCAGGCAAGTGTCAATTTCCCTTCCTCTGTTTCCACCTGGGCTACCTCGCAGGGTGGTTGTGAGAATGCTGGAGGAAGGAGGAAAACCATAGCCTTGGGCTCAGTGAGAAAAATGGTCGGAGAGGAACACAGCGAATAAGTAAATAAAAAGAATTAAAGGACTCGGGCTCACCGAGGTTCAGGGCGTGTAGATCCCATGAACTGCCATGACCACCAGAGGAGAAGTGGGTGACAAAGCCCATCAGCCACTCACACACAGCCCACCCGAAGCAAAATCAAGTTCAGCATCGGGCACTACCGTTTGTAGAGACGTGGGACTACAAATCCCCCAGGCAGCTCTTCCAGAAGTATGGGCATTGTAGCCCTCAAAATTCAAACCTGCGCGTGTGCGCACACACACACACACACAC